TCCAGGGCCATGGGAAGGGGATTCCTGGTGGCTCTTGTCTGGGGGGGGGGATGACAAGGCTCTGCTGTCCTGGGGCTGGACTCTTAGCAGGGCAAGGTGGCTGCTCCTGAGCAAGGTTCTGTCTCCTCTGGGCAGCTGGTTCAGGCCTCCAGGCAGGATACCTGGCTCTGCAGGGGGGTGTTGTCCCTGCTGTGCCTCTCTGCTCTCAGCAGGCTTCAGCAAAACTCTTCCCTCTTATCTTCCCAGATAAAGGATCCATCCACAAGGTGGTGGAGCTGCCGGATGGGGTGCAGAACATCATGGAGCTGCAGGTCTTCCCAAAGAAGGACCCGATCCAGGCCATGATCCTGGACCACAAGAGGGTGGGTCTCTGCCTGCCCCATCAAGAGGAGAACAGAGGGTCAGGCTGCAGCTTCCCAAGCAGGCAGCAGGGGAGGCAGGGCCAGGTGGTTTAATGGGAGCCTCTGGGTCTGGAAGGACCTTCTGGGTGGGTGGGGAGGGGGGTCCTGTGCTGTGTTTTGCTAAATCCAAACAGCTGGGCTTCCAGTGACTGGGGAACTGTCTGGTCAGTGGGCAAGGGAGCTTTTTGGACCTCTCCTGCCCTCTGGAGAGGGGGGAAGAACGAGGCTGTTTGCTCCCGGGGCCGAATCCCAGCAGAGGTTTCTCTCCCCCTGCATTTCCCCCCTCTGGTTGCCCAGCCTTTGCTGGCAGATGTGCTGCTGCTCCCTCCCAGGGCTGACAGCACTGCTGTCCCTGAGGGAACAAACCTGTTGGCACACAGGGGCTGCTTCCCCTCTAGGTGCCAGGGACCTCAGTCCCTACCACCCGCAGATCCACCAGCGGTGATATCCAGCCCGGGGTGACAGTGAAGCTGAGCTGCTGGGCACTTACTGGGGTGACACAGGGGACACACAGTGACTTGTCTTCCCTCCTGCAGGCCGTGCTGTACGTTGGCTCGAGGAGTAAAGTGCTGGAGATGCCCCTGGCCATGTGCGGGGTGTATCGGAACAAGTGCGAGAGCTGCTTGTTGGCGCGAGACCCCTACTGTGGGTGGGCCAATGGGACCTGCCAGTCTGTCTACCTGAACCAGTAGGTGCCACCTCCTGCTCCTCCCTCACCTCCAGCTGCTTGGCTTGGCTGTGAGACATACCCAGACTTGCCCCTTCCAGGCCGGGAAGGGTTTTGATGCCAGAGATGAGGCCACGGGGTCCAGGCAGGAGAAGGGCAGATGTTGGTTCTCTGCCCCCCAAAATTCTGCCTGGTCAGGGATCCACCTCTGCCTCAGCACCCCTGCTCTGGAGAGGCAGAGACTGGGGGATTTTTCAATTGGGAGGAAGGCTGGGGAGGGTCTTGGGACAAGGGAAAGGAGGGAGCTTCAAGAGGAGTTCACCTTGAAGGCTGGGAGAGTTGGGGTGTTCAGCCTGGAGAAGAGAAGGCTCCAGGGAGACCTTAGAGCAGCTTCCAGTGCCTGAAGGGGCTCCAGGAAAGCTGGGGAGGGACCTGGGACAAGGGCAGGGAGGGAGAGGACAAGGGGGAAGGGATGAAAACTGGAAGAGGGAGATTGAGGTGAGACATGAGGAGGGAATTGTGGAGTGTGAGGGTGGTGAGAGCCTGTCCCAGGTTGCGCAGGGAAGCTGTGGCTGCCCCATCCCTGGCAGTGTTGAAGGGCAGGTTGGATGGGGCTTGGAGCAACCTGGGCTGGTGGGAGGTGTCCCTGCCCATGCAGGGGGTTGGGTCTGGATGATCTTGAAGGTCCCTTCCAACCCAAACCAGTCTGGGATTCTATGATTTTTGAGTCCCCAGCCCCCCTTTTCCTGTGTGAACTGTGCACAGCTCTGCTGGCTGAGATGCTGTCTGAGGTGTGAGCTGCTGGGTTTGTCATCCAGCGAGCTCCTGAGTGGGGTGGGGGTTGTTTTTCCCTACCCAGATCAGGTTCCTTCTCTGATCTGCTGCATCTTGGGGTGATTCCCTTCCCAGCCCTGAAGTGCTGCTTCCAGGAGGCTGGTGCTTTCTTCATTCCTCTTCTCATCTTCTAGGGAGGTGCACCAGGACCTGAACCTGGACCCGTGGCAGGGAAAGTGCCAAAAGGGAGATGTTAAGGAAGGTAAGTGGAAGTTGGGGCTGGGGGCTGCTTATTTGGGGCAGGGGGACTGATTCTCCAGCCTCTGTACGGGCCGTGCCAGGTGCTGCAGCTCATTGCTGGGGCCCTGGGAATGACCCTGCTGAGAGTAAGACCCTGAGCAAGTCTCAGCTTGGAGTTAGTTGCTAGAGGATGGATTTCTGAGCTTGGGTGAGAGGCCTCAAGACTCTGTGTGGGCTGATGGCCAGGGAGAACAGTCCCATGGGCTCCACCAGGCGTGGGTGAGGCCCTGCCATTGTCCTTCCATGGCCATGCAACGTGTCCCCATCCACCCAGCTGCCCTTCCCTCCAGCCCTGGGAAGGCACCTGTGGTTCCTGCAGGCACCTGCCTCATCCCACCCTCCCCCATCTCTCCCAGCAGAGGATTACCAGAACATCACAGTGGTCCCTTTCTCCCGCTACTACCTCAACTGCCCCATCGAGTCCCACTATGCCACCTACAACTGGTACCACAACGACAGCCTCATCAAGACCTGCAACACCACCCACCCCCAGCAGGACTGCTTCCACTTCATCCAGAATGTCAGCCATGTCCACTATGGCCACTACATCTGCATCTCAGAGGAGGATGGTTTCAAGCAGGCTCTGGTGAAGGAGCGCCTGGTCAACCAGCTCAGGTTCATGTCCCAGAAGGGCCAGGCTTCCATGACGTTTGGCTCTTGGCTTCAGCTGCTCCTGATGGTGGTCTTGGTGGAGCTGTTCCACTGAGGGCTGTGTCCCCAGCTCTCCTTGCACTTGCTGTCCTCCTCTG